GTGAAACTCTGAGCGATCACAGGCGAGGGGGCAGGGGCCAGAATTTGGCTCAAACGGCCTCTGCAGGGAGTCGGGAGAGGGGCGGGCAGCTGGGAGGGGCATAGAAATCCCGGTCGTCAGAGGACTGCAGGTGGCCGGCAGAGTTGGTGTAGGTGGGCTCCCACGGCTTGGTGAAACGGGGGGAGAGGGTTGGGGCCCGCCGGCAGGCGGTCTGGGGCCAGAGGGAGGCGGGGCCGGAGCATAAGAGGCTGTCCTTAGCCAGCTCTGCCCATGCCGGGCAGTTTGCTGCATCTGGAGGAGCTCACTGGAGAATCTCCAACAGTGAAGCGGGTCTTCAGCTACCGTAAGTACCTGCAAATGAGCGCATAGTCCAGTGGCTGAAGACTAAATACCAGCCACCAGATCCTAAAGAAAAGCCCGAAAGAGTCTCTCTGTTGTAATTAATTGCTGTAAATTAAATTGCTCACCAGTCTGGTCCCCCACCCCCTTCATCCCGCCTTTCTCCTTCCCTCTCCGGATCCTAGCCCTGCCTCACTGGGAATCTCTGGACACTGTAGATACATTCCATTTTCCCTCTCAGTCTTCCCTCCAAATCCTCAGCAGTGCACGTACCCGGCACCCTGCCGAGCCAAACCCTTTTGATTCCTGGCGCCCTCTAAGCTAAGCGCGGGGGCGAGCCATTATACATTTCGGTATGTCACCCTCAAAAAGCACTGCGGAGTTGCCTACAGGTGGGGAAAGTGCTTGGGGTGGAGTAGAGAGGGTAAAACCGCTTGAAAACTGAGATGGGGTGGGCGTGTGTGTTGGGGGGGGTGAAAGGCCAAGATGGGCGTGGCCAATATCCTTTTCCAGTTCTGGAGCTTTGGGATGCTCCCTGGGCATAAAATTAATTAGTGTGGCTGTATGTAAACGGTGGTTTCCTTAGTGACTGGGGAAGGGTCAGCTACTCTGAGAAGCCCAGCTGCTCGGACTCCATTCAAACCCTCAAGAGGCAAAGACCCTAGAGTTAGAGCCCAAGGGGCAAGGCTGGAGCCTCAAATGGCATTTCCGGCGTGGAATCCCAGGTAGAACCTTCGCTTGGCGGTGGAGCCTGACTTGCCCAATGTGTCCCGACCCAAAGCCCCAGAGGAACGATGCAACAGGGTGGATCTCAAGCCTTGCCCTGGCCTGAGGGGAGAGGCCAAGGGACCGCATGTCAAAGCTGAGATGAAAAGAGCATCTTTAGGGTCCTGAACCAGTTCGATGCCCCCTTTGGAGGGGTGAAGAAAACAGCCAGCTTTCTACAAAATGTTTACTACATGCCTGGCACTGTGCATCTCTAATACAACACAACAACAACTCTAGGTGGATACTATTCTTCCCACTTTATAAAGTTCAGGGAGGGTAATTTGAGCATCTTTCAATGAAAAGTGAGCAATACAGAAAGGAGCTGTGACTTCTTGGGTCTCTGACTGTCCAGCTGCTTCCTGCAGCCCAGGTATTTTGAAAATGAACCCTCCCGCCTTCCAACTCCTGCACTCCACCCAGTGTTGGCACTGGAGCAAGTTAGAGGCTGGAGTCCTAGGATCAGCTTGGAGAAGTAGAAGCAGCCCCATTCTCTGTTCTAGGAGCTGCCTCTACCCCGACTTTTCTATAGTAGGGATTAAGTGGGTGGGGGCAACCAGGACCTCAGGCTCTGATAGAGAGCTGGTGAGGGAATTAGGTTGAGTTTGTGTTGTGGGGGTGTACCTTCCTTTGGCAAAAGGATACCCTGAGGGCACAAAAACCCAGGGTCTATAGTCGCTAGTGATTTCTGGGGAAATGGGACAGCCTCCTTGAACTCAAACATCTTCCCCATTCTCCCTGAGATTCAACCAATTCCATTTTCCTTATGGGCAACAAGCAAAAATACTTGGAAAGTTATGAGTAGTCAAGAAATCATTTACACCTTGTATGAATTAGTTCCAGCAGCTTGATTCACATACACCTACTTGAGATGGGAGCTCTGAGGGTTAGGAGAGAAGAGTGAGAGTAAGAATAGATCTGAAGCATTCCATAGAAGTGAAAGTTTGGTTGGAATGAGATGCAGGAAAGTGAGGAGGGGAAAGAATGGAGCATGGGCTGCCTCTGGAAGTTTAAATAGTGGTTTTACAACATGGGTGTTGGATTCAAACCTGGATTTGAATACTGGCTATATTTAGTACCATTGACCTTGGGGGAATTAGAT